CAGTCGAAAATCCACCTGCCAAGATTAGGAGAAAAGAAAAATAACTTAAACAAAGGAAAAAATAAAAGAGCCTCATTGAAAAATTACTCAAGTCTCAGCTTTTCAATTAACCAATTTGTGAAAACCCTTATCTTATTTTTGGCCATTAAAAACATTAAAAACACATCAACTAGGGATGAGGAAAATCGTGTAGAAAATTCAGATTTTATTTGTGGCCATTAACATTAAAATTACCACTCTACCTAGGGGTCATGAGTAAATTATGTGTACCCTTGTATTTTTGCAATTAAAGAGACAGTTTTTTGAATTTGAACATGTGACATTTCAATCACACATGAACAATTTTACCATCGCTCCAGACTCATACATTTTATTTCGCAATTAACATTAATTTAAAACAAAATTCTTACAAGAATAATTGAGTACTTACCAATATAAACTGCAATAGTTGAAGAAGATCCAAGCATAAAAGGGAATATAAAGTCGATATGTTAGTGGATTATCTGAGGTATAGCCCATAAATGGAGAATCAAAAGCATTATATTAAAGGTTATATATTTCAACCTGTCCTTCCTTTCTCTCCGCTTTTATCCCACATAAATGCTTCAAAACGCTCGTCATGACACCTATGTCAAGATTAATTATAGCTTTCATTAAGGTCAGAAAAATTTAGAACATGAACTTAAAATCAAATGTTCAAATATTGAGAGAGAATCAGACTTGGTAACTCCCCGAAATACAGAGGTCTTGACAGAAGTTCTTTTACTAATCAATTTAGGATACCCTCCAAGCTGCGTTTGATGATTATATCCACCATAATTTTGTTCCCTAGGCCCATTATTCCTGTTAGTAGCACATAATAAGAAAAATAATAAATAACATATTAAAATATTAAATTACCATATAGAACACATGATCTATCTACATACATTGCATAGTGCTGAAGTTGGTAAGGGAACACATTGGCTCGTTTTAGACTTTCTTGTACGTGTCTTTCATCTAGTGCTGCTTCCAATACAGTTGAGATTGTTGATGAATTTGCTGGAACAAATTTGTGCATAGAAAGGACATCATCATCATCATTTTGGGTTGAAGAATATTGAGTCCAATTATTCAGCAAGCTTTGGTTTGGATTTTGAATCTGTGGGGTCATTAGGTGATGGGCTATCACTGAACCTTGAGTGGCCGAATTGGGTGATTCAATGTTTGTTTGATCTTCATGCATAGAGGATAATCCTGCCATGGATCTCAATTGTGTCACTCACACCAATGGATTGGACTAAAAAAAAAAAAAACACTCTTTAAATATACATTTTGAGGTCACTTCTCTGTATATATAGTGCGTTGAAAATAGCATATATTTGGGAACGTAAAATTTAACGGTTTTGGACATATTATATGGTAGGCTCAAGCACATGTAATGTTTTGTTAATTGGAACCCGCATCGTAACTTTCACCACCTATGTTTGACTGTCCACTTTTATTTTAATTTAATAGTTGAAGATCACTAAATACTTTAATGAAGAAAGAGAAAAAGTTTCATGTAGCACTAATGGCAAAAACAAAAAGTAAAAAATAAAATTCAATGAAGAAAGAGAGTGTGCCATTACTCATTCAATTATAAATGAACAATAGTAAATAAAGTAATACTTTATTTATAAAATAATGAAAATGACATAATGTTAATAGACTTTAATGTTTCTAAAGTGAATGTAGATAAATTATCTACATTTCCTTCCAAACGACGTCGTTTTAGATTGAAAAATTAAAAATTATAATGAAAAAGACTACTATAATCGAGAAATAAATTATAATTACAAAAATATCTTGATTTTCGTCTCAAAATGACGTCGTTTTGGGCTCACTGTAAATAAGTTATCTATATTTACCGTAGAAAAAACGAATCCATGTTAATATTATTAAAAGTTCATTAAATGCTAATAATTATTTATTTATATATTTGAATATCTTTTCTTTTGTTGTTGTATTTATTGGGTTGGTTAGTATTTTATTTTATTTTTGGTAATATTCAATGTGTAATTGCATACCTCAGACAATTTTCTAATTAATGTCATTCAATTACGTCAGTTTTCACAAATTTTTATTTAATGAAGTCTACAAGTTGATTTTTTTTCCCTAATGTATAAATTACTAAGAGAAAAAAAAAAGCATATCATTTAATCAAAGACAACGCACACATTAACTGCATATATTTGTTTAAGCTTATTTAAAAAAAATTATTTTTTTATTCATAAGTTTTATCATAAAATAAAAGAAACTTCCGAATAAAAAAGTAAAGTAAAGAAATTATTTTCCTAAAAATCTAAAATAAACTAAGGTAATATGTCTATCCTGCGGCTGGAAAGATATATCATATGCACTAAACCCTCAAAAATTGCACCATTTTTTTTAAGTACATGAGTCTCATATATAATTTGTGTCTACAATTGAAGACAACTTATCTCCCACTACAAGACAATAATATTCCCCATAAACTAATCTAACCAGATACTTAGTAACTAAGTTAAGAGAAATGATTACTTACAAATTGGGAAATGTATTTTTTCTCTTACAAAAGAAACAAAAAATTTCTTACACATACATCAATATGTGTTATTTTTTTTTAAAAAAAAATACAATGAAGCCCACCTCAATTTGTGTTTGCCAAAAGGGAGATAACTTTTATGCGAGGAGAATTTATTATCCCTTATAGCGGGTGTTCGCGGTCTGGATTTGATCAATTTTGAAAGCAATAATCATCTGATTCAATCCATTTGGTTTGATTATGTAATCATCTATTTGGTGTGGATTTTTTTTTCAAATCTAATCCAGTTCAATCCAATTTTATTCGGTTTGATTGAATCGGTTTTCAATTTTTTGAAAAACCTAAAATTTGTAAGATAATTTTTTTGCAAATAACATATCTTTTGTATGTATCGGCTTGTAAAGTTTGTATGATGACTATTGTGCAATCTAGAAATATCATTAAACGATAATCTAATTTTCTATATAGTACAACAAAAAGTTGAATTATCATCTTTTACCTCCAACAAAAAATTTACAATGTGGTTGCCTGAGATACGAAGTAATCCAAATTTTTATCCTAGATGAACTGATGTACAATAATAACCCATGCAATAAAAATATATAATGTATCTCACCCAAAAAAAATAACATAGATTAAGTACAACCCACTCTCTCCAACATGATGGGTTAATGGGTATTGAGTTTAGAATATTGCTATATGAATTTTGGGCTGGGAAAAAGGTCCAAGTAAGTAAAGGGTAAGTTGAGAAATCATTGAATCGATTTTCATCAACCAAACTGAAAATCGATTCAATTCAATTAAATTTTATGATTTTTTTCGATTTTCAATTTTTTGATTTTCAGTTAATTCGATTTGAATCGGTTGATAAACACCACTAACAACCACATATTAATTAAACTCTTTTCTTTTATTTATTTAATATTCGTTTTCAATTGGGTGGTGTATAACAAAACAAGTAATGCTTGCTGATAGACTATTTAATATCTAAAAATATTATAGATTAAGTTTTATGAAAATATTTGATAAATTTTTATTTAAAATATGTAAGTGTACTGTTTTTTTAATTGTTTTTTATTTTCATTTTTAATAAAATATTGATTTTATATTCTTTTCCTCAGTATATTAAACTTTTTTCTTAATCAATTAAATTATTTTGAAGTACTAAATTAAATGAACAGTATATTATAGTTATATTTTTTTCATATCTATTCTATCTATTTCTCTATAATATTATTATATCAGAATCTCAACTCAACTTCACTTTTTTTTTTTTTTTGTCTTGAGATTCCGACCTAACAATATTGGAAATAAGTAGGTAAAATAAGTATAAAAAAATATAGACATAACATCTTATCCTTAAATTAAAATGAAATTAAGGGTTGAATATTAGTGTAAACTTTATGCCCTATCATATAGATTTCTATAAGAATTAATATCATATGATATATTTGAAAAAATTATATAAATTTTTTATAAAAGGATATTTTTGTCAAAAATATTTATTTTTATCCTATCTATTATTATATAGTGCATTATCAAACATTGGATAGTATTATATTTTACAATACATTATCTTATACAGTGTCATACCAAATGCTGAATAGTATTAAAATTTAATCAGGTTTTATCCTATTGCCCTAAGGATACTAATTAAGGAGCATTTAATAAATGTATAAAAAAAGAGAGCATTTAATATATTCTATTAAATTTTCAATTATTTGGTTTTTAATATATTAAATATTTTTACACAATACTATATGTATTTTGATTCCTTAATAAATTTCATAAGTGCATTCTTAATTGATTTGACCTATTTCCAGTTGACTTATACGATAATGTCTATTTTGATAATTAAAAATAATAAATAAATAAATTTTCTCTCTGTTAATAATTAGTAATTTCGTTGATCTTTCTTTCTCTCAATAACTACAAACCACATATATTTCTCTTTAATTAATTTTTTTAACAATTAATAATAAAATAGTTTAATTTAAAAAATGTAGAGTAACATGCCAAACCACTTCTCATATATACGTGTTCCTTATTTGTGGTACAAAACTACAAATCATCTATTTGTATGAACTCGTTCCTTTGCCATTACAAAAATTCGTAATTTTTTTTTTTTTTTTTTGGTAAGCTACTAAAATTCATATTTTATTTTTAGACTATTATAGCTAGACCTTTTCGTTTTGGTATAATATATAGTTTGCAAATGACATTTGTCTTAAAAACTGTGTTTCTCTCCAGAGACTACTATAGGGGCAGAAAAAAGTACACTGAAGTTGGCGTTATCTATTTCAAACAGAGAATGTGTCATGCCCAAACCATTCCTATAATCTCAAATCATCAGACTTTAAAAAAATAATAATAAAAGATGTGAAATATAAAGCTGAAAATTTATATACAAAGACTCAAAAAAAATTAAGTAGTCTTTGAGTTGGAACTTAGAAGTTCAGACTGGAAGGGAGGGTTCCTCAATTGGACCCTGCAAATTTGCAATACAAGTCCTTGACTCAAGGGACTGAAGAACTCTAACAACTTCTACCATTGATGGCCTTTTCTCAGGCACCACAGAAGTGCAACTAAGGGCAATATCTAAAGCTCCAATCATTTCTTGATGGCAAGTATGTGATATTCTTGGGTCAAGAACTTGATGTACCCCATTAGTGATGTTCACTTTCCTTCTAACCCATTTCACAATGTCAATGGAGTCACTTGATTCTGCTTGCTCTGCTTGCCTGCCACACACTAGCTCTAGCAATACAACACCAAAGCTATACACGTCCAATTGTTCACTTGCTTTCTTACTGTAACCATATTCTGCTATGCAACAATGCAATTAATTAGTATGTTAATATTTATTTATTGGTTAAGGAATATGATGATGTCATATACACTAGAATCGGAAAGCAAAATTACATATTTGTTACAAGCATGCAAATTGCTGATATACTAGGCAGTGTTTAACTATCTATAATATTTCATAAGATGTAGTTATAAACACTCTAGGTAGAAGTTTGCTCTAGTACTATGTGGCAATGCATTATTTCCTCTTAAGTTCATGCTTTTATGTAATTCACATGTCATACCTGGTGCAATGTAACAGGAAGAAGCTGCTTCAGAATCCAAAGTTGATTGAAATGCAGCTTCTCCAACAACTCGATCAAGAGCAAAATCTGTTAGTTTTGGAACAAAGTTTGCATCCAAAAGAATGTTCTTTGACTTGACATTTCTGTGAAGCAAGTGTGGGACATAATCCTTGTGAAGATATGCCAATCCTTGAGCAACTCCAATGGCAATCCTTAATCTAACTCCCCACTGCAACTGAAAATTCTGACGGGAAATCAAATCCCCTAGGCTTCCTTCATGCAAGTATTCATAAATGAGAAAAATTGACTCATCAGAATGGCAGAACCCCAGAATTTTAACAACATTCTTATGCCTAATTTTTGCCAAAGTCTTGACCTCAGCTTTCAGAGTTTTTGAGGACTGGTTTCCAAAATTAACCAGCTTCTTCACAGCTACCAGTTCACCACTAGGTAAACTCACAACATAAACTTTACCAAAAACTCCACCATTTCCCATTGAGCTTTTCTCATTCATCCCCATAAGCAGATCATGCTCAGTAATTCTGAGAGGATAGAAGAACACTGAACGCCAGACCCCTACTTGACTCCCCTTGCAAGATCTCCTATACAATATAAACCCACCAGCAACAATGACAGTTCCAGCAAGAAAGGCTAAAGAGATTAGGACACATGTTAAGGTTGTAAGACCACCAGTGTAGTGTCTTGGCATGTCATCAGAACAGGAGTTGGGCAATCCAGGGCCACAAAGATCAGGGTTACCTTCCAAAAATGAGGCAGGTAAACCAGAAATCAAGGAGTATGGTACTTTACCTGATAGCTTATTGAAGGACACATTTAAAAGAGCAAGCTTCAAGTTTTGAAGCCCTTGTGGGATTGAACCAGTGAGATTGTTATCTGAAAGATCAAGGTAAGTAAGCACTGGTAGCTGAGCAAGAGAAGAGGGTATTTCACCTGTTAGACTGTTGTCAGCCAGAGACAAAGAAACTAGTTTCCGGCATTTTTTCAGCTCTGGGATTGGACCAGAAAGGGAATTGTGAGAGAGGTTTACTATGCTCATAACTGGGGAGTCACAAAAATTTGGAGCAAGTTCACCATAGAAACGATTGAGAGAAGCAGAAAATCTGTACAAGCTCTTGATAAGGCCAAGACCTTGAGGAATTTTACCACCAAAGCTGTTATTGTCAAGCTGAACTTGCTCCAACTGCACAGCTTTTGATATTGACTCAGGTATTTTTCCTGAGAATCTGTTGTTTTCAGCTCTAATGAGCTGAATTTTGGGTAATGACCATAATGCAATGGGGAAATCTCCAGAGAAACCATTGTCCTGAACTTGGAATCTCTCAAGACTCTTACAATCACCAATGGAGTTGGGTATTGAACCAGTGAAGGCATTTGTATGAAGGCTGAGAATTATAAGGCCTTGTCCTTTACATATGTCAGTTGGAAATGGCCCCAAAAGCTTGTTTTGGGAAACATCAAAAGAAACCAGGTTCCTGAGAGAAGATACCAGAGCCATAGAAATCCCACCTGTTAGATTGTTCTCTGAGAGATCTAAATGAGTCAAACTATGCAGGCCTACCAAAGAAGCTGGAATTTCACCTTGAAAAGAAGAACTATGCAACAAAAGTTGCTTAAGATTTCCAAGTTCACCAATATCCCCTGGAATCTCACTCACCAAGTAAGGATTCTGAGACAAATCAAGGACTTCAAGCTTAGTGAAATTGCCAAAGACAGCAGGTACACTACCTGAAAGCAAGTTGTTTCCCATGTTAAGAACTTGGAGGTTCTTCAAGGAGCCTAAGCTTTCTGGGATGTTTCCTTCTACATGGTTTCGGCTGAAATCAAGCACTTTCAAGGAAGCAAACTTAGAAATCTGAGATGGGATAGTGCCCCATATAAGATTGGTACTGAGATTCAAAGTTTCCAAAGAACTACACTGAGAAAGATGAAGAGGGATGGGCTGGTTGAAGATATTATCAGCAAGGTTGAGATAAAACAGATTAGGAAGGTCACATATAGAAGATGAGATATCCCCAGAAAGGTTTAAGCTCTGGAGATTAATAGAAGTTACTGAGAGTGAAGGAGTGGTGGAGCAAGTGATTCCAGTCCAGTTACAGTAGTGGATTGCTGAAGTATTTGACCAGCTAGATAAGGCCTTCTTAGAGTCTTCAATGGAGGCCTTGAAGGAGAGAAGGATATCCCTCTCTGATGAACAAGAACTAAGGTTGAAGATTGCAAAGGTCACAGAGAGTAGGAATAGGTATATACAGAAATTAGCCATTGGCTTGGAGTCTGCAAGAGAGCTAGCTTCTGTGTTCTTTTCAACAACTCTTTCTATATATCAATGTTAAGTGTGAGAATGTGCCTCCCAACTCGGGAAAAACACCGTTTTAAAATTTTTGAGCAAAAGAATTGTCCAGTTAAAGTTGATTGGATAAGTTTTTCCAAAGTAATGCAGTCAAACATGTCACATATGCTGACGGGACTAGTCTCGTCACTGACACTGACGGGACTCGTGCCACGTCAGCGCCACGTTGGCAGTTTTATTACCATAAAACTTCAGAAGACCATAACTTGTGACTCGGGTATCCAAATCAGATGATTTTTTTTTGATTTCACATAACTTTTCGAGATCTACGCAATGACATATCATTTAACATATTTTATCTCTCACAAATATAATTTGAATTGGTAACAATTGTACCACAATCACGCGTTTAAATCCAAAAGATCTTCAAACTATGTTTGTGGGAGATAAAATATGTCAAATTAGATGTCATTGCGTAGATCTCGAAAATTTATGTGAAATCAAAAAAAAAATCATCTGATTTGGATACCCGAGTCACAAATTATGACCTTCCGAAGTTTTACGATAATGAGACTGCCTACGTGGCGCTGACGTGGCACGAGTCCTGTCAGTGTCAGTGACGAGACTAGCCCCGTCAGCATATGTGACATATTTGACTGCATTACTTTGAAAAAACTTATCCAATCAGCTTTAACTGAGCAATTCTTTTGCTCAAAAATTTTAAAATGGTGCTTTAGCCCTTACATTTACGTACAATAACTCATCATAACCATTGAGAATTTTGTTGATAAAACCTCAATTATTATTTTTTCCTTTTTCTGGTTTTTTCACCTTTTGCAAGACTGCCCAAGTGTATTATTAATATTATTTTGTTTTTTTTTCTGTTTCATTTTCAGTTATTATATATTTATTAGAAAAATATAATATGAAATTATTAATGCAAAATTCGCCTGGTTGAGTTGTTGAATTAAATTGATTATTTTAACCAAATGATATTCTTATCACATGTAATGTAAATTTCATCTAATTGCTTAAGTTATTGGATTAAATTAATTATTTTATAATATTTATTATTATTAGCATTTAAAAAATTTTATGTTATAGAAGATAATTTTTATTTAATTTTTTTCTCTCTTTTGGTCACAAGGAGTCATGGATCATATATTTTTATGTATATATAAGATGGGTAAAAGATTTCTCCAGTCAACGGAAATAAGTTATCTCCAGTTAGCCCAAAACGATGTTATTTTAAGGCAGAAATCAAGATATTTTTGTAATTATAATATATTGCAGGGTTATATTAGTCTTTATCATTATAAATTTTTAATCTTATAACTCAAAACAACGTCGTTTTGAGTTTACTGAAAATAACTTTATTTCTCGTGACTGAAAAAATATTTTTCTCATAGAACATATAATTTATCTCTGTGAAATAAAAATGTTGAAACTTTTCTTATTACTACTAACCAATCCCTCCAAAATAGAGCCAACACTTAGAAGACATTCTCCAAGGAATAGTTGTTACTCTAAGTAGTAGATGATCACACTTTTCACAAAAGTAAAATAAAATAAAAAAAAGTTTTTTCAACGTTGCAAATAGAATCCTAAGGAGAAAAAAAAAAAAAAAAAAGTGAAGTAGGCTTAGGCGTAGATTTGACCTTCGAACACCGAAACCTTGATTGTGGGAAAAAATTCAATGCATGTACCTCACTCCATTGAAGATGTTTTGGCTTGAATAGGATGTTCACGTGGCCATTTTGTCAATTTGTGTCCTCGATGGGGTCTCAAATTGACCATCAGATTTCAGAAGTCAGAGACCTTTTGTTTGGCCAAGGCATGAAACAAAATTCTCCATTAAACTAAACATGGCACCTCGACCTCGGGGTGTTTAATATATTAAACAGAATAAACAAGAAATCGAGACTTGAAATATATAAGGAGTAATTGGCGTTCATATATAGTATAATATAAGGAAAGAACAAACTATTTAAAAATTCAAAGAGGGTAATATTATATATAAAAGTTAAGGGGTGGTGTCATTGAAGAAAGAAAGAAAAAAAATGTGTGGGTATGAGGACCAAAAAAGGGCAAGGAAGAGAGGCTTCTCGTGACTGATAGGGCTGATGATGAGACAAAGGTCCTTATTGCACGTTTCAGACTCGTTTGGAATTACATGCCATACCAAATAAGAACAAGGAGATCAAGATGAAGTTGAGTTAAGTTTTGCTAGTACTACAATTTTTTTAGTTTATTTCCTTTGCTTTCTTAATTATAATTAGACCCCCTCTTCCTAATAAATAATCATACCTTTTATTTTATAGGTCAAAAGGTCACCCACTTTTGTTGCATATTTGTCTATAATATCATTTATATGCATGGGATCCACAATTCAAAGTGGGTCAGGATCACAAGGGCTCTTTCAAGAAGATGAATTTTTTATTTCACCAATGGGAATAAGGGTATAGTAGACTTGAACTAAGAGATATACACAGTACAATGTGGCTGTGGAGGACCATGCAATTAATAAATTCATTGATTTATTTTCTTTATTTGAAAAACATAAGAAGCATAAATGTTTTGAAATATATTGTTACCTTATTATTTTAAAAATAAAATAATAAAAATGATCTATTAACATTAAGGGATTTGTATTCATCATGCAACACGACAACAAAAAATTTTCTACATACAATATTTTGTGGGGTCCGTATTTTTTGAAGCAAAAAATGAAAAAAAACGGCACGAAAAATAAATCTCTATAACATAATACAATCACTTTTATTACAACATAACTTTTATAAAAGCCTAACAATAATTAGGATAAACTACAGCTCTATGTGGGAAATCCACAATGTATTCAAAACGGGGGAAAGGAATAAAATAAAATGTTCAATTTCTCTGACAAGAGTGGACGAAATCCAAAAAGTTCCTAAAAGTATCAATGGGTGAAAAGATTCTTAACCTTTGCATGATTTCTATCAACACAAGAAGGACCACGAGGTTAGTTTCTCTTTCTGATTTCAAAATTGCCATAAAAAGTTGTGAAATATTATAGTTTTTTTTCTTCGTAATATTCAGGTTCAGGGTTTATGCCATATCCGGTTATCATTTTTTTTTCAAAAGCAAAATTTTTTTTTTTTTTATCTTTAGATGAACACTATAATTCATAGAAATTGATCCTCTCATGTGAAAAAAAATATGATATGGTCATGTGAGAATATCACAATCATACAAAGGTAAATCAACGGTTATAATTTTGTTACTACTAATTTTAACATTTTTTTTATCTCCTCCTTTATTATCATTAATTTAACTTTGTATGATTATAATTCTCCACGTAATATAATCATGTAAAAATAAAGATCCAGATCCATAAAGCTGGAAAAGGGATCAGTACATCACCAGCAACAAGAAACAAACTTCAAGAAAAGCTTTTTTTGAAGCTTTAAAGCTAATGGAGCCAATTAATTCATGCATAATCACCAATTGCGTGTGTGAAAGATAATAAACTAAGCCAAAATGCCAAATCCTTTAATATTTGAAAAAGATGTAATTTGTTAGTGTCGTGCTATTGAATTTCTACACATGCTGCGAAGTGCGAACTACAACACCAAAGAAATAGGAGATTCAGTAGGTGTTCCACTGAATCTCCCTTTTGCATATTTATTCTTAAGTAGTTTTATAATAATAAAATATTTATTTTAAGGAAAAAGTGTTTGTTCTTTTAAATGACACAACTTATATTCTTTCACTCTCACAAAGAGGTGAGACCCACACTTTTATATTTTTTTCACTCTCTCTCCTTTTTTATCTATCTCTTTCTCTCACTTAAAATGATACAATTTTACATTTTTTAAATGATACACACTTTTTTCTTATTTTAATTAATGTTTATCTTTTTATTTGAGAGTCACAAAACTCTTTTCAAGCAGACAAGAGTGACACTTTTACAGTGACGTTACATTCCAACTTATTAAAATAATTAATTATAAAACTATTTTAATACTTTAGTTGTACCATTTTGCTTTATTATATAATTTATATTAAATGACTAAATTATAGTGTGTTTCACTGAGTCGTTTGGCTGTCCTGCACTGATTCCTTCAGAAAGCAAACTGTTGTAGTTCATTGTCATTTGGTAGAACGTAAATTTTTTTTTTTCTCAAAAAAGTAGGATGAGAAAAATGATTTGTTCATATTTAATAGGAGGAAAAGTTAAAGTAAGGCAAGAAAATTTTTTTCTCATTATTTATTTTTTCACATATAATTATTATGGAAGATTGCCATTAATGCCATGGGGGTGAAAAAAATTTTGAGTATGCAGTGCAAAAATTATCACATAGTATCAGTAAAATAAATTCAATATTATCAGAAAAAATTTAGCCTACCAAATATCTTTTAATAATTTATCCACGAAATTTTTTTCCAAACATATTTCCCAAAATTATTTTTCTCGGTAAAAAAAAAAAAATCTTCTACTAAACATCACTTAATTCTTTTTTGTTTTCTATGTTTTCCTATTTATTATCTCAATTCTTACATTTAGTCAAAGACCGACTAATACTTAATTATTATTATTATTATTAGAATACACATTTATCTCTCTCTAAAATTCACTCAAGGGTAGATAGTATCTCCTAGTTTTGCAAGATACCAACATACACTTTACATATTATTTTATATTTATATAATTTTGTTATTTAATTAAAAATGATTTCATTCTATTTTCTAGAAGGCTTGTGCATGTAGCATCATTCTAGCCTAGGTGATTTCTTCATAGTTGACTTTAATTTAACATATAGTTATACTAGTACCATAGCTGTGAAAGTGTTCAAACCTCTGAGGTGAAGGACGACAACCATTATTGCTGAATGCTGCATCTGATCTGAAAAAGGGATAAAAGGATGTAAAACAAGGATGTAAAACAAAAGAAGAAAAATCTTAAAGAGGAAATGAGAACTACTGGGGCCAAAA